AATATCGAATGTTGAAAATGGTCTATACTATACATGTAATATAATCTATATTCTTTTGGTGTCTTATGATACTTAAGTGTAAGAAGACCCGTGAGACATTGGCAATACTATGTTCCAACTTGCTAACTTGTCACGGGCGTTCTTTCGTGGCCTCAAATTTTATTGGAGGCTCAAATTTATTTGCTTTCATATGCAACCAATTAGATACAGTAAGCAAATTCTTTTACTTTTTTATATATCTTGGACTCATTATCCCAATTTGACAACTTATTATTAATGAGAACAATCGACCTTTTATCCTGTTTTTGATAAAACTCTAGTGGCTCTGTGAGTTATGTAGCAGTCAAATGTATCTTATGGCTGTATGTTGTGTTCTTTATCTGCCAAGCTATGAGCTAACATGTGAAGATAAATGTATGAAGACATTCTAAAATAGAGCTATCATTTATTGCAGCTTGAGCTCACATTAGAAACTGGATGGAGTCTTAACCCCTAAATACATAATACCGTGATTCCATCATGTGAATTGAAAAACATTGAAAGTTTATTTGTTTACTGATTTGAAGGCTTTTTTTGCAGTCTCAATAAGTGGAACAGAGCGAATATTGAAATGTGTAGCAGAGGTCAAGTACGCACAGGCCAAAGAGACATGGATCTTGAACCAAATCATCGACGAGAAGAAGGTGAGATGCGTACAGATGATCGTGAAAACAATCACTGCCAAGCAGTTTATAAGGTGCTTCTTTGTGTCAAACTCTTTTTCTGTTCCTTCGTTAGGGAAATGGCCACTAGAGTAGAAGTCATTGAGCAGCTGGTCTTTGAGCTGGAATGTGTTCATTAACCAAGCATTGATTTCCTTTTCTTGATTTGGGATTTGGGTTAGGTTGATACGACGGATGTGGATGTGAACTTCTGATGGCTCAATACCATAAACATTGTCTAAGAAAGACYGGCAGCGAGTTTTATAACCGATGGTCACATCATAAACTGCAAGAAGTGCAAATAGTTGCATAAGAGTTTGGTTTGTTCAAGAGGAAAGGAAAGGCATAGGATCTTTAATCACTGATGCAAACCAGCAAAAGTATAAACAAACCTGCATCAAGAGAGCAACTCAATTCTTGCAAGCAGGAGACAAAACCTTTTGTTCTGGGAAGCAGCACGTTGTTCAGTAATGGAAGGCCATTTTCAGCTGCAAATTTCTTACTCCTATCGCATTTAGCCTCTCTGCATAAAGTCCCATGGTAAAATGCTTTAACCAAAAGGGATTCTAAACAAAGAAGAGGGAAACTTACGTGAAATCTGTGCCCTCTGGGAAAAGAGCAAGCCATAAAGCATCTCGAGGATCCTTAAAACTCGAAACAATCTGCCTCAAGTTTGCTTCATCGACTTCCCATTTCCGCTCAACGGGAATAAACTCAAAGAGATGAAACGCCCAACCAAACAGAGGTAACTTCATCAAACTGCTCTTAAGCACATATTTCATATTCCCAATCTGTCCTTTACGCAGCGCAAGATCCCAAAAGTACATCCAATCGACTTCTGTTCGGTGATTCGCAATGAGCAATACTCGTTCCTCACAAGGAACCTTATCGCCAGAGAAAATAACTTTGGTTCTGTTTATCTTCTCAAACAGGAAAGGCCACAACGCGAGCCACGAGCCAAAGAAGAAAGAAACACATTTACGGCTATAATGTACACTGAATAGCCTCAACACTACACCGGATAAGAACCCCCAGAAGATCAACATCATAAAAGCTGTTGAAACTAACACCATTAGACATATTATACCTCTTAACACTCTAATCAGAGACAACTTATTATTAGAGTTTGGTATCTTTGCAACTTTCTTTTCCATTTTGTTACACCTTAAGATAATCTACTTAACCTCCTATTGTATTCAGTAAATCGCTGATATCACGAATCTCGTGTTACCAGAATCATCATTGAGTTCTTGCACACAAGTTACTTCACCTGCAATTATATGATCAAAGACTTAAGAACTTGACATAACATAAATATTATTCAATAGAAAAATGTAAACTAAATGAAGCTTTACTAGAAGCTTGAAGAAGCTGAGGATTCCTATGAAAACTTCAATATTTAATTACTACTAAACACTACAGGTTGAAAGATAAATAGATTTAAAAAAACAAAGCAAGAATCCAAGGATCTGACTTATCCTTGAACCTTTATTCTCAGTCACATATATATATATACATTATTGTCTAATCAAGATTC